GTAGCCTTTCAAGTGCCCTTGTTGGAGTCGTCCTTAGCGCTCCTGTTATGCACAGTGCAGTGAGCCACTGTAATCGCTCCAATGGATTTCCGTACGAGATTTTGCTGGCTGCGTTCCACCATACCAGAGCGCCGTAGAGCAATATCGGCTTAACTACCGGTGTGTAACACCAATGCATGAGGCCAGGGCCCCATGTGGTACCCAGCATCCTTTTACATGTGTAAAGGCCACCACTGGCCTTTTTCACCCTTTCCTCTAGATTAAGCTCCCACATCAGTTTGCTGTCCAAAATTACTCCCAGGTACTTGGTGTGATCCTTGATTGATAGCTCCACCCCGTACTTGTACTCTTTACACAATTGTCTTTCTTCAACAGTGCACAATGTTTTTGTGCATAGCTGTTTCTAGATTTTCTGAATTCGCTGTACACTGAATCTCAAAGACAACGACACGCGTTTGAGACGAAGGCATTGGTGTACACTTTCGAGCGTCTTGCGCGCATGTCTAGTAAATACCGGGAAATGAAAACCACGTAGCGGATGCGTTATCATGCGGTGAACTTAAAGATTGTAGATTCGGATTCTGAATCTTATATCCCATTTTAGAAAGACGGCTAAACGACAATTAATTAATTAATTAATTAAACGACAATAAATTAATTAATTAATTTAAACGACAATTCTTCTTCTTCTTCTTATTTGGCGCTGTACCCGCCTAAGTGATTTTGGCCGAGCTCAACAAAGCACGCCAGTCGTTTCTCTTCTGTGCCAACTGACGCCAGCTGGAAATACCAAGTGAAGCCAAGGCCTTCTGCACTTGGTATTTCCACCGCAGTGCTGGCCTCTTCTTCCTCTGATACCACCAGCGGGTTCAGAGTTCAATACTTTCAGAGCTGGTACGTCGGAGCCCATTCGAACGACATGGCCAAGCCAGCGGAGCCGCTGTATTTTAATTCGCTGCACTATGTCTACGTATTGTAAAGCTCATACAGCTCATCATTTTATCTTCTGCGATACTTGCCGTCGTCAAAGCGTAAAGGGCCGTAAGTCTCCCGAAAAATCTTTCTCTCGAATACTCTGATTCTGCGTTGGATTTCCATGCTGACATTATTGTCGGTGTTAATGATGGTTCCAAAGTAAATGAAATTCTCTAATTTATTGAAATGATAACTATCAACCGTGACGTGGGTGCCAAGGCGCCAATGCGCTGAATGCTTGTTTGATGCAAGGAGATAGTTCGTCTTGTCCTCGTTGACCACCAGACCCATTCGCTTTGCTTCCTTATCCAGCTTGGAAAAGGCCGAAAAGACTTCGCCTTTCTTGTTACCGATGATATGGATGTCATTGGCGTAAGCCAGCAATTGCACGCTCCTCTAGTAAATTGTTCCTGAGTGGTTCAGCTCTGCAGCTCTTATTATCTTCTCCAACATCAAATTAAATAAATCACACGAAAGACAGTCACCCTGTCTGAAGCCTCGTTTGGCATCAAAGTCCTCGGAGATCTTCTTTCCAATTCTGACGGAGCTGTTGATATATGTAGCTTACACAGCCGTATAAGTTTCGCGGGGATACCAAATTCAGACGTCGCGACATAAAAACAACTTTTTTCAAGCTGTCGAGAGGGGCTTTTAAATCGAGAAATATATGAAGTGTGTCGATCCTATTCTCGTGGATTTTTTCCAAGATTTGGCGTATTGTGAATACCTGACCTATGATGCCAAGTTTTAAGTTCCAATTAATTTGTTAACGGTTGGCTTCAGTGTTTCACAACATACAGTCGATAATACCTCGTAACCTATGCTTTTATGACTGATCCCGCGGTAGATCGCGCAAATGGCTGGGTCGCCTTTCTTTTGGATTGGGCAGAGCACACTTAAATTCCATATCGTCGGGCACCTTATCAACTCCTCGCCATCGTACTTGAATAGCTCGGCAGGCCGTCAGTTCCAGCAATTTCGTTGTTTTTGAGCCGCATAATCGCTGTCGTACCTCATCATAGTCAGACGGTGGAACATCGACTCCATCGTCATCGACTGGGGCTCATGTTCGTCTTGTCCACCACTTTCAGTATTGTTGGCGATCAGTGGGGTTCTCCACAATTTAATTACTTTCTGGACATTGGTCACTAGGTCGCCATGGTTGTTTTTACAAGAGTTCACCCTGGTCTTTAAACTATCTGATACAAATTTCGGGCGGTTTTCCTTTCGGCCAGCATCTCAAGCTCTTCAAACTCACGTATTTTTCCCTATCTTTATTCTTATTGCGGCGAGTACGTCTCAATTTCTTCTTCAGCACCCTATATCGGTCCTACGTGGACTGCGTTCCGCCCGATCGCAGCATGGCCCTGTAGGTGGCATCTTTTTTCTCTGCAGCTTTTTAACGTTCCTTGTCGTAACAGTTGTTCGTTCAAGCTTGATGAAATCCGACTACTTCTTCGGCGGTGCTACGTTATGAGCGAGAAATGTAGTTCAACTGCTCGCGTGCGTCGGTTTGTTGGAAAGTGCTTTCAGAGAGAAGATGTGAGAGTCGAATAAATTAACCGTCTGTTGTGGTTGCAGCGTTTCGGATTTCCTTGCATTGTTGGCACACATTTTTTGCTGTACAGAGGCGGGTGCGTATCTTGGCTACAACATTATAGTTGTTCTTCCCGAAGTTTGGCCCTCGAAGTGTATGTACGTCTAATACACTAGAGGTATGCCTTCCGTCTATCACAACACGGTCAATTTGGTTTCTCGTTTTTCGATCTGGAGACAGCTATGTAGCTTAATAGATTTTGTATGATGGTACATAATACCATGTTTAGGGCTCGGGTGAAGTCGTTCTGCCTCAGTCCGTTATCAGACGTTTCGTCGTAGATGCTCAACTTTCCGACAGTAGCCTAAAGATCCCTTACTTGCCCCACTTTGCATTGAAATTACCAAGCACAATTTTTTGTTCCTTGGACGCCTTGTCTTTCTCTTCCGTCGAGCCACCTTCCCTATTAAGTGTCCGGATATTCCAGGCTCATAACCTTAAATTATAGTCCTTTATACGTTTGCCGTGGTCGTCATCAAAAGAAGGGGGTCTCATCCGAGGCATGTTTTTCCATTTCACTGGGAGGGGTTTTAACGTGGCGGGACCTAAACCCAGAGCACGCGAAATTGTACGCCTTCTCACTTTAGTTTATTCCCAGAGGATAAGTGGTTATAAATATTCGGACGTAGTGAGCAGAGAAGCGCAGCGAGTATGATCAAACTGAATATATCCCACTCACCATCCATAATTTGTTCTACTTATATGCATTCATATTTACTGAAATGCCCCCGAATGGCATATCCAAGAGAATGGCATAAACAAGAGGTATCTATCATACTCATACCATGGGCGTAGCCAGGTAGGGGTAGGCGGGTGCTAAAAGATACTATTTTCTTTTGAAATTTTGGAAAACATATTGTAGAAGTGGGAAAAATAATAAAAATTGGTTTAATTTTAAGATTTATTCCACAAATTTTCCACATATTTACAATGCGCTCGCAAAACTTATTATTTATTTAAAGAGGACAAATATTCCTGTTTTTAAAGGCAGATAAATACTTAACATTGTTTATTTTTCTTTTAAGTTTTCATTGAAAACATTCACTCCACGCTTTCTTGACGTTTTCCGCTTTCTTATTTGAGCTAGTAATGGGGAAAATATCGATATTGTGGATAAAATAAAGAAATAACTTGGACGTTACACGATCAAGCTCTTGGTTTCAAGTTGCAATCCACTCACACTTTTTTACTAACACACACGCACGTTTACAACTTGAACGTCGACATAATATCAATTTTTACTTTCAAGTCGTGTAGCAACTTGAAAGTGAAGTCAAACAGCTGATTGATTTTTTTTCTAAAAATGTACATACCTTTGTATATTCCGGTAAATTGGTTTGTACCCAAACCTTCGTTTCGGTACACGGTACAAAACCAAAAGTTTCGGTACTGTACCGGAGATTTGGGTACAGGTGGTCACCTTAGGTATGTACGTTGCTGGGTTTATGACCATGCATACTAATTTTGTGGAACTCTTAACATTATTGCTTCATTATTACCGTTTGTGCGAATCCCCTGAGCAATCAGTAAATATTTTATGTTTACATACATATTTATAATAGTATTTAGAAGTTATCCTTCAGCCTCTGGTTATGCGCTTAAATAAAGAAAGTGCTCTAAAAATCCTTTCTTTACAAATACATATATAAATATTGTATAAGTACATATATAAGTATGTACATATGTACATATGAATAAACGATCACCAAAATACATACATACATACACATGCATGTATAAGCAAACGCAATTTTAACATGCGTTGGTAAAAACAATCACCATCTGCATAGCAATTCCCTAGTTAGTTGGCGGAAGCGGCATTTACAAATTTCGGGTTGAGTGGAATGATTCACATGATTCCACTCAAGCAATGAATATTGTGGATCAAACTCCGTTGAGCTGAGGGTCAAACTTGTTGGGGATGGTATGAATATGATGAGGGCATCGTATTCATATGGAGGGCAACTTGTGCACATAAATCAATGTCGTTGTGCATATGCGTACATCAGAGTGATGGCGTTTCGCTGATTTAGACGTACTTATATGCAAAAAATGCTGAGTAGCGGGGAACTTCAAAATAGGCACTCTTTGCTGATCACTGGTAGTGAGCTGCGGTTTGAATCGTACGCACAAGACTCACTTTTAGCCACTCCCAGGTGAAAGGCAGTCAAAAGATTTTCTCACTTATGTGGACTGCTGCGCACTGAACCATCCTCCATAAATTTTACGAAATGTTAAAAAAGTTTAAAAGTAAAATATCAAAGTATTTCTTAAGGGTTTGAAGCGAGCCATAACGCTTTTTCACATTGCCGCATTGTTCGTACTAGGATTTGCGCACGTAAATGTTTCTTCTTTTACTATATTATTATTCGTGTATTAATACGACTACTATGACTAATGGACATTTTTTCTACATCCTATATTTTAGATACATACACTGTTCAACAAGCAGTTAATCTTTTAGGATTCGGATGGTTTCATGTTAAGTTATCACTCATTGTGGGACTTTGTTGGATGGCCGACTCTATGGAAATGACTATACTTAGTATTATTGGACCAACAATGCAATGCGACTGGAATATATCAACTTATCAGAAAGCCCTGATGACGACAGTTGTATTTCTGGGAATGATGATCAGTCCGTTATTTTGGAGTCAATTAAGTCATCGATATGGCAGAAAATCCGTAAGTACTCAACTTATCAGGGATCACACGATTTGCACATTTGTACAGATGTGTCCATTTTCACCGCTACAGAGTGGTGTTGATTGGAAAGTTGATATTGAGCTGAGGTCATTCTCGCTAAAAATTATCTAGACAACACCACTCTCTGACTGCGAAATGTACAAATGTACAAATCGTGCGATCTCTGCTTTAGGCCATTCTCAAAGGAGCGAGTCGGCAATTCAAAACTAAATGTATGCATAATGTTCTTTGCGATGGCCTTCAATTTGGCTAAAATGTTTCAAATTCGCCTTACTCATAGGAGAACTGACACTGAAGGAATTGCATTTTTTTAACAAAAAAATATCCTCATAAGTTCTTCAATTTCTTAAAAATGAAATCAAGTTAATTATACATAAAGTTTTAGCTTTTCCAGTTTTCAGTATGGTAATTGAACTCCGTTTTTCGACTAAATGCTTATCAGTTATGTTTCTTATTTTTTGAACACAATGAGACTATCGTTCTTCGAAGAATCGATATTTCAAAAATGCGAAATGATATTTCGACGTATCGAATGAAAACATCGATGTTTTTATATATTGTATATATCTATGTACATTGTACATAGTATATGCAAACAAGCCGAAGAAATGATGCTGCCCAATTTGCGACAGAACGAGGCCAAGTTAGGGACGTTCCGATACCATCAAAGTATCGATACCTACTCAACTGAGTTTACTCAAATCGTTATTTCGATACTACTTATATGAGTCAACCGAATATATCGATACCTATTTATATCGATAATTTTTCATCCATTTATATGCAACAAAGCGAAAGTAATTTTCAGGCGTTATCTGTGACTTAAACCTTTGCGGCACCTGAGTGGAAGCGCCCTATTTCAGAATTTGATTGGAAAACGCTCTATCTCAAATATTTTCACTATATTTTTAGTTGAGGTATCGATATGTATATTTCTTCATTAGTAGCACTACACCTTTTCAAGTTCGTAATGAGAAAATGTAAGATTATATTGAGAAAAAGTAAATTGAAATGAGTTTGCGTTAATTGAAATTGAGCAGTGTAAGTTCAAAATGAGAAAATATAAATCCAAATGAGAAAGCGTAAAATTGAATTGGGAATTTATAGCTTGATATTGAGAAGTGTAAATTCATATTGAGAATGTGGAAATTCAAAATAAGAAAAAGTAAATTCAAAATGATTCAAAATGATTCAAATACTGTAAGCTCTGTTCGAAAAGTCCGGAGGGATGAACATTTGGCACACGCAGGTTCGCTTTTACTTCCATTTTAACTATATCCCAAATGTTCTCTATTGGATTTAACATTGGGGAATAAGGACCTAGACACAAAACCGCTTCTCCTCCCGAATTGTCTGCCACTTTCCTTTCTATCGAAGAGTGACATTGGGCATTGTCGCAGACCATTACCAAATCCCACACATTATTCCCCATGTTTTGCCAACGCTCAATGAGTCTTCCTACCCAGCCCCACCCCACGCTTCGGTCGTGTGGTTGTTACTGAAAGAAAAACCCAATTTCTTTTGTTTGATATTTTACATTATCGTCTTGAATTTCGTTTTTCTCATTTAGAATTTACGTTTGCTCATTTTGAATTTACTTCTTCTTATTTTAAATTTACACATTCTCAATATGAATTTACATTTCTCAATATGAAGTTATATATTCTCAATAGAATTTTACACTTTCCCATTTTGATTTACATTTTCTCATTTTAAACTTACATTTCTCAATTTCAATTTACGCATTCCCATTAAAAATTACAGTTTCTCAATATAATCTTGCATTTTCCCATTACAATCTCATAATTTCTCATTTTGAACTTGAAAAGGTGTAGAAGTAATACGATTACATATACAAAAAATTCATCCTTTGAAAGGATCCCACAAAACTTTACGGCTACAAAGCATTGCTTGCACTTTGTTGTGGTATCACTACGGTGACCATATTAACCAACGTAAAATAAAGGACATTTTTTTTCAAACTGTTTTGGAAATACGTACATACAACTTGTGTGATAATAAATAATATAAAAAAAAAACTTTTTAATATACAACGCTTTTATAAATGGACTAAAAAGTAGAAAATAATATTTCTCAGTCCCATAGAATTTGTTTTGATAACTTTTGATTTTGAAATTTTAGCAAAAGTCTTTATAAACAATCTATGAAATTGAAAATGAAAAACGTGGAGCGCATGCAATACAAAGCATTCGATTTAATTGACAATAGTCAAACTACATAACGTAGACCTAAAATTTCTACAGCGAAAGTAGAACTTTGAAATCGATTTTAAGCGGTCGTTATTCATATACCCACATACATACATACATATATTACTTTCCATATCAATTCAAGTGTATTACATGCGCCCCACGCTTTTCATTTTCAATTTCATAGATTGTTTATAATGACTTTTGCTAAAATTTCAAAATCAAAAGTTATCAAAACAAATTCTATGGGACTGAGAAATATTATTTTCTACTTTTTAGTCCATTTATAAAAGCGTTGTATATTAAAAAGTTTTTTTTATATTATTTATTTTCTACTTTTTAGTCCTGTCTGAATAAAATTTTGCAATAGATATTAAAATAATTCAACGATATTAATAGAAAGGTGCACACACATGCATTTACATATGTATGTACATACAAACGAGTACCAATTAATTTTATTTAAAGAAATGGCGTGTCGTCTATTTCCGCTGTAGCAAACGTAGTACATAGGGCGACATCTAGATGTCATCTACCTCGCCCTATTCACTACAGATATCGCCCTATGCACTATGCTTTTTTATAGGAACTTTTCAAAGCAAAGGTTTTATGGTGTCGGACACACAACATTGAAAGTTTCTGGATCCACAACATTGAAAGTTTCTGGACACACAACATTGCAAGTTGATAAAAGCGTTGTAAAAGTACCTTACCCATATCGTAATGTAAATCAAATATTTACCAGTTAATTATGTTATTTAACTGTACAAGTTCCCCTTCTATAGCGAAAAATTAAGCAAAAGCCTTTTCAAGGACTTCGCCATCCTTTGCTACCAAAATGCGTTTACCATAATTCATACCGCACGACGAAGCCAGCACACAGTGGTTCAAAATTGGAATTTAATGGTCATAATGCACCGGAACCTTCATTTTTCAACCAATTTTTACTAAAAACCAAACCAATATTTATTTTTGTGAGTATTTTTTTATAACATTTCAATTTTTTTTTTATGTCTTTTTTTTTGTTTTGGGAGAGCCATACAATTGGTTTCAACTAGTTTTTTTTTATATAACATTCATTAACTGGAACAGGAGAATACAAAAATTGCTACTTTATCTGCATTTTGCACTAAAAAATTTAATATAATCAAATAAAAGTTGAGGCATCTGGCTCAACTGGTCTTTTGCAAATATCGTAATAATAATATTAATAGATTGGCGCCTACACATATGTCCTCCGATTTGTGGCGTGCGCCTTGATGTTGTCGCACAAAGCGGAGAGACCTAAAGTTTTACGCCGACTCCGAACGACGATTGTATTTTTATGAGAAGCTGTTTTTCATGGCAGAAATACACTCGGAGGTTTGCCATTGCCTGCCGAGGGACGACCGATGTTAAGAAAAAACCTTTTCCTATATTTCTGCGATGTTGTCTTGACCAGGGCTTGAACCCAGGTGCTGATGAGTGAAAGCGCGCACTGCTTACCACTACACCACAGCGGCCGACAAAATATCGTAAGCTTCCATAAAAAAAACAAAAATTAATCATATTAAGTGAAAAAAATGAAGGCTCCAGTGAAGTACGAATTCAGTGGAACTGGAAACGTCAGCGTGCAACACCATCCTGGGCACAACTTTCCCCGTGCTTTATAGATTGTACAAAGATTTCCGATTAAATAGAAACCCTTAAGTGGGGTGAGAAACAAACTGGCGAAGGTTTTTATTATATTTCATAAGGGACATTTTTATTTTTCATATTCTGCGTTTAAAAATTTATCAACTCTGAAATTATTAACTCTGAGAAATACAGAGCCGATTTAAAGGACAGTTAAAGAAATAAAGAACAAAAGGCGTCCTTTATTTTGACAAAACTTATGAAGGACAGGGGGTTAAAATAAAGGACGGATGGTTACCGTAGGTATCACTAACTTTGTAAAATAATATCCACACTTTAGAATTTGGCGGTGTAATTGCTTAAAACTATTTTTTTCATGAAAACGAAGCAATTATTTTCGACAGGATATGGCACTTGACTAAATCGATTCGATACAAGTACTATTCTTTCGATACCAAGTAAGTATCGAAACAACGATTCGAGTAAAAAAATTAGTTGGTATCGAACCAAAAGTATCGAGTACATACTCGTATTTACTTGTATCGGAACATCCCTAGGCCAAGTTCGAATCGAACAAAACGCAACGTAGCTCTGACATCGTCAGATTGAAGTTTTACATTTTTAGGAAGGCTTGTTGATTTTTTTAAACTTCCTTCACACAGCTGATCTTCTATGACACAAATACAAACCCCGGTCTCCCAGAACGGTTTCCTTTTCATTAAATCCTCAGGATGCGTCTTTGAAATTATTGAATATATCTCTATGCAATTAGTTTAAGTAGACAATATTCAACTTATTTTATTAAAAAAGGGGGAAAAAACTTATTTCAAATCACAATAGAAATTTCTTTAGTCCTTTAAAATATAAATATTAAAAATTGGGAAAGCTCTGAAAAAAATACGAAGTCAATGAAAAATATCTTTTATCTCTTTTGTTTAATTTTATTTACACTTCAGATAAGTAAATAAACGACAATAGATTGTATTGTTTTAATCAGCTTCATTGAATTTTTCTTCTTACTGTTACAATAATTGCACAACTTCGAACCCGGTCTCGCAGACCGTTCAATTCAAAGAGCGCTGAATGTCCACTTACACATATATCACTTGTCTGACTAAATGAGCAAGAATGAGAGAGCTCCGATTGTTTGTTTTC